CGGGTTTAAAATTATTTTTTTATCCAAAGGCCCCCTTATTTTTATTAAAAAAGGCTGTCGGTAGTGTAAACCCGTTATATTATTAAAAAAGTGTTTCAATTTTTTAAAAAACTTCATTGTTTGTTGTTTGTTTTTGCACTCATTATCTTTTATTTTTTATTTAATTTATTTAGTTTGTATTTGTTTTTTTTTATTATTTTCTATTTTATTTCATGTGTTAATTTTTTTTTTTCATTTTTTTGTTGTTGTGTATTGTTTTTGTTCTTTTTTTAGTTTTTTTTCAGTTTTTTTTCACGTTTCTTTCTTAATTGTTAAATATTTAAAAATGTCGTTTGTTGATTTAAAAAACATTTTGTGTTTTAATTCCCTGTAAATTCCAAATATTCATAACCTATAACCATCAATATTCATGTTTATTAGCTGACCATAAAGGGTCGAAAAAGCAACAACAAAAAGAAAACCAACTTATTTTTTGTCTTGATGCCTGATATCATTTTCATTTGATGATTAATCAAGTGAATTGAACATGAGGTTTAATGGTTCTACTCTGGTAACTTGTGCGCAAACAAAAACAATAATTTCAGTATCACAATCCTTTCATAGATCTGAACAGGAATATTTCAAACGTCCATTCATGTGGTTGCCTGCTACAGTGGGAATCATTCTTTCCGTTTTTTGTTCCGTCTATCATACGTTCTATTCCGTCTCGTAACAAATTCTTGCTCTTGACTAATTTCTCAACTATTACTGGGGCAATTTCACAGTTTAAATGAGCCAATATATTTCGGCCCATTTTGAAAACAGTTTATGTCTGCATATCTAGTCAATTTAAATCGCCCTACGGTAATGGTGTTTTATTTCAGTTTTTTTTCATGTTTTTTTTTTTCTGTTTAAGTTAAAATTTCTACATGTTTATTTTTGCATAAAATTTGAATATTAAAAGTATCTTTACACTGTAACTCAAATTTATTTTTTCAACAAACAAGAGCATTAGAAAATGGATGATTGTTTCAGACCCGTATGTTAAATTTAACAGACTATAGTTGTTTTTTTTTTGCAGCCAGAAGTTTTGTAAAATGTTGTTTCTGTTTTACGTAAAAATCTATAGATTTAAGATATTTTGCACAAAAACTTTATTGTTTTAGGTGTTTGAATAAAAAAACATGTCAATTTGACCAATTTTTAACACTGGTCACATAAAAATATGCCATTACGTGAAATAAGTGATGACGCGGAATTAGTGCATGTGAGTATATATGACTTGCCTATCTTGTCATTCTTATATGTCAGATTTCTTGTTGTCGATATGGTATTGAAGTCAATGTTAACAGGTATTTTGTGGGAAATAATTTGCTTTTTAACATGTTTGTTTTGGTTGACTTTTACTTTTTTCAACTCCAAATTGAGAGACATTTTAGAAATATTTTCTCTGTACTCATATTGTAGCTTGTGATTTTCCTATGAATTGTCCCATGTAATTGTTTAAGTTTACAGTTTTCCAAGCACATTGCTTGATGTCCATTTTGTATCAACCATATTTGTTCAACTCACAATATTTAACTTTGAAATACATTTCCAAATTTTTCATTGAAAATAAAAATGAATCTGAGGGGCGTGCCTGCTTTAATTTTAAAAATAACGTTTTATGATTTCAATCCACAAAAAAAAAAAGAAACTAGTTTTTTATGTGTTATTAACGCTTGAACAGCAGTTAAAATTACATTTACTGTATTGAATATATTTAAAGGATAATTACAAACTTAGAGATAGCTTTGCAATGCTGATTTTAATCAATGCGGTTAAGATGTATATTTCCTGCATCTCCTTGTTTACCCACTATAGTCACGTGACAGTTCTTATTTTTGGATGTGTTGTAAATAGAATATTATATATATTCGTGCAGATTCAATACTAATTTCATGAATAATAATGTGCCCACCATAGGCCTCCAATATGACTTTATTTTAACTCGTTCAATAAATTTAGTATTAAATCTTCGTACAGTACACATTCTCATCATATGTTATAAATAGAGGATATTAATGAGTGTGTAAGTTCAGTAACGAACCTACACGAATATCACCTACCAAAATAAATTTTTCAAGTGAAAAAAGAATAATTTTCCACGCGTAAACATTTAGCGCATCTTTACAGTATGTTTGTTTATATATACATGTTTATTTAATTTTACCCCATGAAATATGGTGTTATATCAGTCAAATATTTTTCATATTTTTTTTTTAATAAATATGAAATATAAATATGAGAGTGGACGGGAGTCAAAACTCATATTTATTTTCAGGGACTTCTTTCGCCATTTTGTTTGAAAAATCTGATAAAATATTTGTTGAATTTTGTTTCGAAAACTTCCTAGAATGATAGAAAATGGTCTAACTAAGAAAATAAATCCGAACACCAATATCTTTAATTCAGTCATTAACGCTGTACAGATGTTTAAATAGTTGTTTTACGTGACGTCATAATGTAGCGCTAAATGTCGCGCGCAAAACAAGACACTAATTATATTACTGCGCAGTTTGCGTATTAAGCAAGGGGTTCCTTACCATTTTTCTTTGATAATAAAATAAATAAAAAGGATATTTTTTCTTTTTTAGTGAAATATGGTATGTATTTCACTCAACATCATTAAAACGCCACATATTTTCACTCGCCGTCCCGGCTCGTGAAAATATGTAAGCATTTTATCATGATTCGTGAAAATTATATTCCATATTTTACTCAAACGAAAAAAATATCCTCTTAGTATACGCAAATGATATATGCAAAATCACATCACGTCAAAAAATATTCATGGCCGTGCAAAACCATTTTAAGCGGAGTCGCAAAAGCGGCACGGGTATGTGATAAATATTGACTTGTTCCTTCATCATGGGGAAAAATAATAAAGGATGTTGTTTGCTTTTTTGTCATTGAAAAGTGTGAACCTATATTTTTGATAATTTTTCACTGTGATATTATCAAAAAATAACTTTCTCGGGGTAAATTTTTTGTCAGTTTTTTTTATTTGTCTAGATGATATAAGGTCTGACTTTTCAGTGGAATCATTTGTAACAGTTTTTGCCATGAAATCAACACCAAATCATAATATAGGGTAAACGCACGTTTTTCCCGTGTTATAACGTTTAAATGTAATTTATAACACGAAATAAACGTGCGTTGACGCTATTATAGCATAAAATTTTCAAACAGATTCGTGATGTATAGTCTATACAAAACACAATTACATTAAATTCTTGTGCTTGGACGGTATTTATCCCAATTCTATGTTTTACGTATGGCGTTTCATTTTTCCGGGCCAACAACATGGAAAATTCTCGGAACCGAACGAAATTTTGAATTTTAATCGATTTAACAAAGCTTGGCCTTTGGAGATTTATTATCTCAAGAAAAAAAACGTTACATTACTCTACCCTCTACCCAAGACAAAACATGACCCTCAGGAAATTCTTAGAATGATTTCAGATTGACGGTAGAAAAAAGATCAGTGACATCAGAATCGGTTTTTTTTTTCAAGCAAACAAGTTTATAAAAATATCAGGCACTAAGCATTATTCTCTCAAAGAAATATAAAGAGCATTTATCAACATTAACATAAATAAAAAACATTTTCTCATATTATTTTGTGTTATCTAGTTTTTGTAAGTTTAATCGGAGTGTTAAACTGAATGACAGGTAGATTCTACTGTATTTGTTTACATTGACAACTGTCCGTTTCTTAGAAAGGGCGACAACCAAGATTAGCACCGATGTCTATACGCCGTTTTTCCGGCATAGTTACTTGAATATGCGACTGAGACCCACGAATCAATAAATTTCAGTATAACAAGAGCGCATGACTCTTATGCAAACAGGCCAAATCGTCATTTTTTGTTTGTTTGTTTACTGGGCCCTGTATGTATTGCGCATAGATGAAACCGGGCTATAACAAGAGCGCGTGACTATGTTAACACATGGTTTTGGTCCCGTTATAACATGGGCAAAAGAGGGAAAAATAGCCGATTTTATGCTATAATACTATTTATGATCCTTTATTGTGTTAATATCCCAAATAAATTTGTAAACAAACCGTTTAAGAGTTAAACAGTTCCCACAGGAATGAAATATGATTGAACAAACAATGCGTATAGGCCTACTATCAGTGAAATGAATATTATACAATACAAAAAACAAACAACAACAAAACAAGATACAGTGTATGATCATAACCCACAAAATACGATCAATATATAATGGTAACAATATGTTAATGGTAAGTCAAATTGAAAAAAAAACACCCGCTGTCATTAAGCCCTATAATACATATAACTAAAAGGATTTTGCATAGGTCAGTTGAGTAGATTATATCATACGTTCCATAACCAGGTACTGTTGCCGAGACGGTTTCTGTTACGTTCAGCATCATGCCATCCAATAATAATCCAGTAGGGTCTAAAGTGGATTCAATAATTATCTCTAATATGGCCAGTTCGAAATTTTCCGGGACGTAAAAGTCATATGTCGAAACATAGCGGTCAATTGACAAGATTTGCATCATAGACGATTCTCGGATAGGATCTTCTTCATAATCATCCCCTTACTGGATAACGTGATATCTTTCCGTTGATATTACTGATGATGCGACATTTGAATAGTTTTTAATAAAGGTGTTACCACGGGACAATCCTACAAGGCTCTCAATCACATAACCATTCTCATCATAAATGGTTACATCTGTTTGGTCGAAATGGTTAGAAATTCTCACGTATGAAGTTAGGAACGGCTTCATGTATCCTATAACGTGAATGCAGCCGAAAGAAGATACCGGAGGAATTCGTTCTGACATGAGGTCGCAACGGCCACCATCAGCTACAAAACATTCATGGCCTGACTTTACAGCAATCAGTTCGTTTGACGTGACAATGGTGCCTGAAAATTCGGTACCTTTTTTCTGAAAGCTTTCACTGCTTCTAATGAAATAGTTTCTTGAGAACCGTTAGAATATTCAATTTGTACAGATGTACCATCTTGTAAGGATTCTATAAGAAACTGCTCAAATCTGTCTGGTCTGGTGTTTCCTGGTCGGCCGCTTGGTAATATGTATTCTTTTCCTAACTCTTCGTCCGGTAAGATGCGTCCCCCATCCGCAGAAACGTTCTTATAATTTAGCCAGTAAACAGTTACTGGGCTATCTAATTTTATGTAAACGGTCTTATTTGAAGGGACTCCATCCGATTGCACTTGAAAGGTGGGAGGAAATTCGATTACTTTTGAATTTATAACCTCATGTGGTTCATCAAGTATCGATAAAGATGGCACGGTAATGTTAACGTTTGCATACGAACTCAAAACATACAAATATTGGGAGCCATAGTCAGTGTTTAATAAGAACTCATAACCTGTATGAAATGAAGTTCCTGTACGTCCTGCTTCTGAAATAATTATGTAAATTTATGTAAATATAAATATACTTGTATAGTGTGGATAAGTTTTTTTTGTTTTAGTATATCTCCATTGTTTCTCTTTACTGCTGCTACCTCGATCTTATACCAATTATATACATTGTTTAATAAAAACAATCAGTTCTACTCTTTTAGACACCATTTTATCTTTTATTCAAGTTTACTTATTTATTAACGAATTAAAAGATAACATTAACTCACGTGATTGATTTAGTTCGTAACGTTGATCTACTTCAGTGAAACACTCTCCACATGTGCATACCCTGTCCTGACACCGACAACGAGTACCATCACATGGAAACATTGGATCCGTATCCCAGCAGTCGGAATTTCTTGTGCACCTACTTCCAATATTTGTTGCTAAAGAAAATATAATGCTTAAGTTGTAAAGTGCCTTTAGGTTTATAATACCAGCATAATGTAACAGATATTTATCATTTTTACTATCAATTTCACCGGGCTGTTTTAAGTTAAATATCAATCAAGAGAAAACTCTAAAATAGATAATAACATTTGTTGTATGTATTTTCTTCCATAATTTATTACTAGATAGTAAACTTCTTGAATTATATAAGTAAGAAAACATAATTTCTTACCCGGTAAACATTTTTTGGGTATTTCACAAGCACGGATCATTCGGCATAACTGATCAGAGTCGCAATCCTATTATCATAACATTTTAAATAAAGTATTGAATACATTTCAGTTAACCACAATAGAAATTTAAAGTTGTTGACCAATGCCCCTCATATAATTACAGTGTGAATAGATACATGTACATCAAAGAGTTCTAGTAAATGAGAGCTGCGCCATTGACAAAACAACCAAAAACCCCAAAGAAAGAGAATACGGAAGCGGGACAGCATTTGATCCTGAATCAGACTGGTCTGATTCCATGCTGGTCGCAACGCACTAGTTTGTCATGGCGCGGCCTCAATATATGTTTTATCACGATTGATTCACAGCAATACTTATTTTTTTAAACATTTTAAACTAACAAGCAAAATAGTCAACCGATCGCCATATCAATCAAATTACCTCAAAACAATTTAGATAAAATTCAATAATTAACTACAGCATTCGTTTGGTTTTTTGCTGACCTGTTAAATCGACGACCAGCCAAAACCCGCAAGTAAAATCTGAAATAAATTTCTCCTTTATTAATGGCAGATCGCTTTCAGTTTCATGAAAAATAATTTAGTTTAAACTGTTTAACCACATTGCATGTTACACATATGTCTTGTATCATAGTTCGGGGACCTTTCTAGAGTTAAATCGTATACATATGTACACGCACAGTGCGTTAACTGGAGTGCAGGTATTAGTTATCCGCACTCCAGAGCATGCCCGTTGATTGGCTCATTTTTGCTGGGGTTTACTTATTGTGACGGAAGGGAAAGAGAAAGCGACAGAAATATCATATTCAGATGCTCGTTCATTGGTTACTTTTTTCCCGGGGTTTCATATTGTGACAACAGGAACGTTGTTTTTATGTTTTGACTATGGATACAAAAGAGATATGAACATCCAAAACACTCCCCGGCAATCAAAGATTATACTCTACAATCAGGATAGCGGTTTCGATGCTCTTTCTATTTACATATTACCACAGCTATATGAAATAATTACCTCAAGTTATAAAGCAGTTTATTGATTATAATTTGTAACTTGATATTGTATTCACATGGTTGCACTCTCATCCCAAAAAAGTAAAGATGCAACAGAAACTCCTAAAAAACACTGTTTGTTTGGTGTTTCCCACCCCCATAATTTTGTTGTCTTTTCCTCTTTTTCGACTCAATAAGCCCAAAAGAGACACAAGATAAGAATAATTGGACTTACACTTTTTTCACATTCGCGACATTTTGCTTTTTGCATCTAACATTCCCGCATTGCGCTGGTTGCCTTATTCATACTTTCATTTCAAAATTGCTGCATTTTATCTTTTTTTGTCTGGCCTTTTAAATCGACGATCAGCTGTTAACCTAAAGAAAATCTGACGCAGAAATTTCTCCATATCATTGAACATTATCGTTTTTCAGCTTCGTACATTGGTTTGGCTGTTTTGGGTTTTTTCTAAAATAAAAAAGAAACCCTCAGATGGCCAGTTTGGAACAGGCGAGATTTTAGGCCAGCCAAACCAAAAGTCATTCCTTCATTAGTAGCGGAGAAGAAAAAGAGTCAGTAAGAATCAGTCAAAATTCGAATTTAATAAAATCGTTTATAATGTCATTTCTTATAAAATCTCAGATCATTTCTCGAAATCTGAACACTTTATTGCAAGCAATATTGCCTACCCCCGACTTATTTTGATATATAGAAAATAAACAACAATTCACATTTTTTTGAATTCTATTAGAAAAACCTCCGAAAAAAAACCAAAGAAGTAGCCGCCAAATTGAAAATAAAAGCAATGAACAGAAAATCCCTAATGGAAAAGAATTAATTATGGTTACAATTGTTATAGAAAACCAGCTATGCTGTAATACCTGAAAATAGATTTCTTTCAAAATAAAATATAAAAAAAAAAGAAAGAAAAACTCAAAGTGAAGGAGAAAAACGCAGGACATCATTTAATTATCTTCTAACACCATCAGTATTCGAACCACAGTTTAAACCATAAATCGGCTATAAGCCACTATGAGTGTCATTTCTATAATGCTTGGTACCCAGACCATAGATGCTTTGAACCACCACACTGTACTGCGTCATTGCTCCCTAAGTGTTGTATCCCCGCAACCAGCTGTGACAGTATCCATTAAGTTGTTTTCATTTTAAAAGCTGCATGCCTCTATAGATTCATGTTAATTCTCATGAAAATTTGAAAATGTATTTTAAAGTAAAATATTGTGATATAAACAAAGAAAGTTAATTACAAATTGCAAACTGCACTTACGATCCATGTTAATTACAAAAAGATGTCAAAAATATGGGAAAAAAAACAAAACAGCCATACTTAGTCGCGCAGTAAATAGCAGAATCAGACATTTTTCCCACATAACATGTGCATAATTACTTGACTCTTGAATAATTTTCTTTTCTTAAAATCTTAGAACATTTTCTTAAGCTTGATTTTCTTGAAATGTTTTGGCTCATCATGTAGGCATGCAGCTTTAAAAAAAATAAATAAACCTGGAACTTACAATAAGTCTCAGAATAAAATACTATGCAGACGACATTTTTTACTAATGACAATCAGCCTACAAAGTTTTCGACAATATGTACTATGTCTTTGCAATACAATAATTATTGTTAAGTGTCACAAAATTATTTAATTTAGTTCATCATTTACAAAATGTCTAAGTTCAATGATAAAATAGAGAAAATAAGAATCCTTAAAAGAACATTATTATACAATATAAATTTTAAAATACGACATTCATACTCCAATACTTATTAATGTTTTAAATGTTGAAACAAATATACTGGAAAATAAATTAATCTTACCAACAAGAATCCTAAAGTAGTCTTCATATCCTAGGCCTGTATTTTATCTTATTTCTCCAAATGAAGTAGTAAAATAAAAGGAAGAAAATGATTGTGATCGTGTATTTAAGCTGCTCCCAAACACACACGCACGAGCATGCACACACAAACACACACAAACACACACAGGTACGCCTTCATCAAAAGTTAACCAATAAAACTATACTTAATATCAGTACAGATTGATATTCAATACAAAACAAGCTCCTAACAGTAATTTTCAAAGATCAATAATATCTTTATTTAACTGTAGCAAATATCCAACATGTCTTTCTTATAATATAGTTGTTAATATTGGCCACATGGCGTACTGAATGTCGTGCGGGCTTCGTGTATTTTGCACGCCACTCAATAAAAAAGAAATGCAGCGGTTATATGCGTATGTAGTACTTTGTAAAGTTTAGGAAAGTTAATATGACAATGTAGCCAGCTGCATATTTTAATCTCTTTAATAAATTAATAGCGAATGTCGTGCTTCTACAATTTAACGACGTCGTCAATCAGAGCGACAGTTCGCCGCATGTCAGTCTGTACATGAGTGTTCAATTGTGCTGCCTGAAAAGGTTCGGAACTGTTGGTAACTCATATAGTATGTATACATAATTGAGCCGCGCCATGACAAAACCAACATAATGCGTTTGCGACCAGCATGGATCCAGTCTGATCAGGATCCATGCTGTTCGCTTACAAACCCTATTACAAGTAGAGAAACTGATTGCGAACAGCATGGATCCTGATCAGACTGCGCGGATGCGCAGGCTGTTCTGGATCCATGCTGGTCGCAAACCCACTATGTTGGGTTTTATCATGACGCGGCTCATATACATGTATACATGTATAATATTTTGAATTTGATATAAGCATGTTAAAGGGTTGAAGCTTGCTTCCTGTTATGCCAGCGAACGTTCCGGTCTTGGACGTTTATTTAAAAAGGATGGTGAAAATTACCATGATTATGAATATAGAAATTGTCCAGCATGTTCATGCAAAATATTTGAGAGAAATAAACATTTCTTTGAAAAAAACAGCACGTAAAATAAAATGGTCACTATGGTCCATTCTACACACGCCGTTGTTTATTTTATTATGTAGTTGATGACGTCGTGGTCATTTACTGGGTAGGCATCATGTGCTAAGGTCTATCTGTCAAACTAATGAAGAAAATTTCTTGCACTCTACACGAACTATCAGACTCGCTTGAAATGACTTGAAATGAGCCACGTCATGACAAAACCAACATAATGGGTTTGCGACCAGCATGGATCCAGACCAGCCTGCGCAACCGCGCAGTCTGATCAGGACCCATGCTGTTCGCTTACATATTCTATAACAAGTAGAGAAACTGATAGCGAACAGCATGGATCCTGATCAGACTGCGCGGATGCGCAGGCTCGTCTGGATCCATGCTGGTCGCAAACCCATTATGTTGGTTTTGTCATGGCGCGGCTCAAATAATTGCGTGTCGTATAGTTTGACAGTCCTGCTACAAGCTGCAAGTAGTCCCTCACATGAACTGAATCGCATTCCATTGAGCTGCTAAAACGCGGATGGATGCATGGCTTAATTCATCAGAGCCAAGCCGTGTGAATGCGTATAGATTTTGTTTTTCATTAAATTTCTAAGTTGATAATGTGTAAGTTTAATTCATCTTAACAAGGCAGCGCACCCCTCGCCTAACCTCACCAAAGACAAAAAGTAAATTATTGCATCAGATTTTCAATACTTTCTTATTTGGCGAGTAAAACACTTAAATTCCTTTATGGAAATATGTGCACTATTATATATATCCGATATCCTACACTTTGATGTAAAAATATGAAATTCGGCATAGTGGTAAGAAAGTTATTTTTATATTATGTTTGAAATTTAATGTATTGTAGCATGGCCTCGGATAATGTTTATATAATTGTGATTGTCCTTGATTTAATACAAATTATTTGTCAAAAAAAATCCAAACAAACAACAAAACAAACTTGTTGCCAGAGAAAATGACATATGTTCCATCAATATGTTTATTTGTGGTATAAAATAAATGATATAATGATGTTTTTCTTGTTATTTTGCTACAACATCAAGGTTTTTTGCTTGAAATAAGCTTGAATAACAAAACTCTGTCTCTTATCGGGAATAAAGATAATATTATGTCATTGATGGGAATGTCAGTGAAGTTG